TACTGACTTCAACCATGTAGTACTTCATGAAGTACTGTACCTTTTGTGCACACCACGAAGGGGGCCACGTGTTAAATCTAGCGGCAAGCAAAGCATCCAAGAAACTAATTAAAGTCGAAAAAACAACACATTTCGAACCTCCTCTACGGCAGCGCCGGCAAAACTATATGTGAAACGCAGGGTTAGTCCCATCGTTACCACTTGGGCTGGACGGTAGAGCGACGATCTCGCTGCATGCGGGTCGGTGTTCAATCCCCCACCGACCATCACACAAGTGGATGGGCACCATTCCTTCACTTCCCCCGTCCCATCCCGAATCCTTATCCTGATCCCTTCCAAGTGCGATATAGTCGTAATGGCTTCAGGTTATCTTGAGGTTATCTTGAGATGATTTCGGGGCTTTTTAGTGTCCCCGCGGCCCGGTCCTCGACCAGGCCTCCACCCCAAGGAAGCAGCCCGTGACAGTTGACTAACACCCAGTTACCTATTTTACTGCTAGGTAACAGGGGCATAGGGTGAAAGAAACTCTGCCCATTGTTTCTCGCCGGCGCGTGGGATCGAACCCAGGATCACAAGTCCAGCGTGCTGTCCGCTCGGCCGACCGGCTTCCTTGGCATTACACCCCCCCCCCCCCATCGTTACACACCACTTCTGGAATTTTTAAGCAAATTTTGAAAGACTTATATCTAGTACTGACCCAATACGGTTTGACTGGTCAATACATCACATTCCCCAACACCATGAAGATGTTGGTGGACTTGCTCGTATTGATAAGATCAATTATATCTTAAAACTCCGCACCTGGGGCCCAAGTTCATGGACAAGCAGCAGACGTCGGCATCTACAACACAAGGCGCTCAGTCATAATAACAGCGTCATTCTGGCTGTTGCCATTCAGTGATCATTTATTCCTTGTTTGATCTACGTTCGGAACACGTTACAAGGTGTAAAAACACGTGAAATTGAGACAAGCGTCCAGAACCAAACAGGAAGTCAGCTGATGCTCCTTGCTTGCTGTTTCCTTAAGAACATCAAAGATATTCCCAATGAACTCAAGCATTAATACAAAAAAAACAATACAGACATACAAACACATCTAATCACACGCACCAAATACACTCCCGCAATCCAAAGAATAAAAACAACAAACACATCAATTCTTAAAAAACATCAACATACACATCAATTCTTAAAAACATCAACATACACATCAATTCTTAAAAAACATCAACATACACATCAATTCTTAAAAACATCAACATACACATCAATTCTTAAAAACATCAACATACACATCAATTCTTAAAAAACATCAACATACACATCAATTCTTAAAAACATCAACATACACATCAATTCTTAAAAACATCAACATACACATCAATTCTTAAAAACATCAACATACACATCAATTCTTAAAAAACATCAACATACACATCAATTCTTAAAAACATCAGGAGCATTTAATTATTAGTCTTAACGCCTTCCAAGAAATCATTTCGATTGTGCAAATAACTCCTCCTCCTTATCTGGAGCCAACTTCCGGCCCCGGACGACCAAGACGCAGATGGAGACGGCAAATGAATTTCAGATCCTTCGACAGTGCTGCCAGACTAGTTTTTAGCCTTTAAATAAACCCGTCATTGGAACAATTGGCTTAGATTGTCGAGGGCTTGGTAGGGAGGGAGGGAGGGAGGGAGGGAAGGAAGGAGGGAGTTAGAGGTGTAAGGAGGGAAGGAGGAGCAGGAGGAGGGTGGCGTCGTCTTGAAGACAGTCACTGCGACAGGCGGTACGCGACAGACGACAGACGGGTGGCGGTCCAACACCAGGCTCATGGACAGGTTTCCCACTGAGACACTGACTCCCTTCTGAGACACCCACTGGCTCCTTCCTCCTCACTCACAGATCCTATTCCACCATATATATATATATATATATATATATATATATATATATATATATATATATATATATACCTTATTATATACACTTTCGTATTCAGAGTTAAATGGCAAGTTTTTCCCTGAATGCTCTGTGTTCCCTTCTCTGAGGCTGTGGGTCCCTATAATTGCACCAGTGGTGGTACCCCCCTATATATATATATATATATATATATATATATATATATATATATATATATATATATATATATATATATATATATATATTATTAAATATGACTTTAATGTTTGGTGAAATAATTAATAAGGTGTAGCAAGTCTTGTAAGAACTCAAATTACATTGACTCATGTGATGAGTAGAGTGCTGATAACCTCAGGCTGTGGAGAGTGTGTTGAGTAATGAATATTGAAGGGATAAAAAGAAGGACAGGAATTTGATATTGACTCAAGTTATATATTTCTTAATATTACTTAATTTCGTGTGTGCTGACTTACCGTGATTCGTGTATTCCATCTCAGTCGTGTTTTCCTGTGTAAGTTTTTATGTAACGTCGAAGGGCGCTGAGGTCTAAGTGAGGGAAGTTAAATTAGCGCTGTTTTATCAGTGTTTTTAATTTTAGTGAAATTACAAACAACTTCGTGTATTGTTTTTTCAGCAATTATTAATGTCTCAGTTGAACAAAATAAATGTCAATTTTTTATTTGTTCGTTTGATGCTATTGTGATTTCTGGGTGTAATGTCTCAGTTTGTTAATTGTGTTTTAATTTAATTGGCGGATTGAATTCAGCTTATCATATTTTCCTTCTAATATTTCCAATCGCACTAAATTTCTTCCCAGTCATTCATAATTCAGAATAAGAAATTTCCCACTCCCATATTTCCTCTTTTCAGTCTTTTTTTTCCTGCTCATTCCTAATTATTTTTATTTTTCATGCGGGAACTATCAGGGAAAAGCGCCAAGCCATTACGACTATATAGCACTGGGAAGGAGGGGTGGGGGTCAGGTTAAGGATTAGGGCTGGGACGGAGGGGAAAGGAATGGTGCCCCAACCACTTGTGGACGGTCGGGGATTGAACGCCGACCTGCATGAAGCGAGACCGTCGCTCTACCGTCCACCCCCCAAGTCTTTCTCATGAGCCTGCAATAGGCAGCGAGACCAGAGAGGCGCGGCCGGTGTAGCAATTAGAGAAAATATGTAAATAAAAAACTATGGTTGTCTGTGGTACTGAAAATCATCCGCGTTGTCGAGGGCGTCTTTAATTTTTATTTCTAAACAAATTCGTTAGTGTTGCATCAGTAACAGATTTATATATATTCCATTGAGGTTTGGTACTGATTAACGCGCAGTAATATTTTTGTCCCCTCCCCCCCCCCGTAGGTTTAAAATCGAAAACAAAAACTAACATATATATAGCATCTTGAGGTCATAAAAGGAGGACTCGTCGAGAACAGGGCCGTGGGGATGCTAAGTCCTGAAATCCTCTGAAGATAACCTCAAGATGGTATCTTACAACCCGAGTCAAAGGTCGGTGCAATTACTTTATTTTCTTCTCTCTCTCATGTCACGGGCTCACCATAGCCAGTGCTACTTGGAACTTTTGGTTCCAAGTAGCGAATCTTAAACAACAACGATAACAACTCTCATGTCATAATTGACCTCCGTGGCAGACAGCCTTCTGGCTTACATAAGTCAAGTCCATTTCACACCCAAAATATTATCGGTCATGTAAATTTCTAAACTCTTCATAAAGCTAACCGAATTGTTAGTTCAATGAAGCTCCTTGACCGCCTGTTTCACTCTCTTCACAATGCATGAATCATTGTTTCCAAATATCTCTTCTAAATCTAAATTAAACCACTTCTTTCCCCCCCCCTGTTAAAAGTTTTAGATTTATATGTCCCAGAATTTGATGTAAAATACTTTGTTTACATTTTTGCCCATTTGAATGACTCTTAAAATGTTTTATTTAGCATTACGTTTTTAAAGTCATTTCACGATAAATACGAAATATTCTTAGTTAAGTCATTCATAATGCACCTCTGTATCCATCCTGTGGTTGTGGTGGAAAGGGTTACAAAGGCACACAATGGCTTCAATTCCTGAACCCATTATCGGACGATACATACCCAATTCCAGGTATCGACTTCAGTTTTACTATTTATGTTTTCAAAGGGGTAACGCACTGCGAAGATAGAGAGAGGGAGAGGAAAACATATGCACACTGTCTAGAGTGAGGGGAGAGGTGTGGATACTGTCCAGAGTGAGGGGAGAGAGGTGTGGATACTGTCTAGAGTGAGGGGAGAGGTGTGGATACTGTCCAGAGTGAGAGACGTGTATTCTGAACGCAAAACACATCAATTAAAACAATAAGTGCACTAAATGACTTATTTCACTCTGGATCACATTGTTCAGAGTGCACTAAATGATCCAACTCTTCAGCCATTGATCACAACTGGTCTCATACCGGATCGGCCACGGGCTCACCGCACGGAATAACCCGGGTACCTTATTTAGCGAATCAGTATGCCGTGTGTGGATCTCTCTCTCGGATTAGTTTCAGGCATTAGTCTGGGTTCCTCCGGAGCATTCGAAATGAAGACGTTCTGGGGCGCCGATATTGCAGGTATTGCGTGGCGAATGTCGTGAATGTGTGTAAAAATCTTTGGCGCGGCCGTCAGCTACGAGAGAAGCGTAAATAGGACCGTTTCTCTTGGACTGGTTTAGGGACATATAAGTCCTGTCACCAGGATAGCTTAGTGACCAGCCACAGCAAACACACTCGAGTCTTAAACTTAACTTAGGACTTAAGGAAACTCACAGGTGATATACACCAAGAAGCAGGGGAGGGGGGATAAACTTTTCTGTGTATACCTTTTTGATTCCGGGAAATTTTACCTGGATTTCTTAATGCTTGATGATAAGCAGCTTCGGCCAATGTAGTTTGTATAGGCCAAGCAGCTTCGGCCTATAAGGCGTTTGCAGGCATAGGCCGAAGCTGATTTGATGACGATTGATTAGCTGCCTGGCCTAAGCCATTTGCATAGGCCGAAGCCGCTTGTTAGTCTATTACCTGAAGTCGAGGGACCATGTTTGTACTGTCCGTACACCTGGCCTACGGGACAGAGGACGGCCAGTGTCGCTGGACAGGTTGGTGGACAGGTTGGTGGACAGGACGGTGGACAGGGCGGTGGACAGGGCGGTGGACAGGTTGGTGGACAGGGCGGTGGACAGGTTGGTGGACAGGGCGGTGGACAGGGCGGTGGACAGGGCGGTGGACAGGTCGCTGGACAGGGCGGTGGACAGGTCGCTGGACAGGGCGGTGGACAGGTTGGTGGACAGGGCGGTGGACAGGGCGGTGGACAGGGCGGTGGACAGGGCGGTGGACAGGGCGGTGGACAGGGCGGTGGACAGGGCGGTGGACAGGGCGGTGGACAGGGCGGTGGACAGGGCGGTGGACAGGGCGCTGGACAGGTTGGTGGACAGGGCGGTGGACAGGGCGGTGGACAGGGCGGTGGACAGGGCGGTGGACAGGTCGGTGGACAGGGCGGTGGACAGGGCGGTGGACAGGGCGGTGGACAGAGCGGTGGACAGGGCGGTGGACAGGGCGGTGGACAGGGCGCTGGCAGGTTGGTGGACAGGGCGGTGGACAGGCGGTGGACAGGGCGCTGGGTGACAGGTTGGTGGACAGGGCGGTGGACAGGGCGGTGGACAGGGCGGTGGACAGGGCGGTGGATAAGGAATGTTGGAAAATCTTAGAAGATTTGCGGATGCTGTCAAAACAGGACGGGAAAGGAAGACAGGAGAATAACAATTTGTACAAACAGCTTTAGTTACACATTCAGTGCGGACGACAGACTGGCAGATGCAGTTTAATGCTGGTTAAATGTGTATATACTCTGAGGCATGGAATGATAATTGATTTACAAGATTCCAACTGGGAAAAATTGAAATTGCGAAAATTGAATGCAAAGACCTGAGAATAAAGATTGGTAAGGAATTTAAAATAAAAATAGGTATGTACGTGCGTAATAAGGCTGGTGATAATGGGATTCTTATATCTAGATTGATCACTTTTAATCGAATTATCGGCAATTAGCTTAGCGTTTACGGTGCAAAAATGGTTTGCATTGATAATCGCAAGAACCATTCGTATACATCCTGGGAAGCATAGATTAATAAGGACTCACAACATGGCTTTTAAAATGGCCTATTTTTTTCAGCCTTTCTCTCATTCTTTTTCAGCATATTTTCAGTGGAAAGGATTTGAGTACGTGAATAAAAAACACAGAAATACGTGCAAACGTGAGGTCTCCTGGTGGAGACCTGGAGACCTATGTAGAGGTCTCCTAGCTAGAGACCAGGAGACCTATGTAGAAGTCTCCTAGCTGGTGGTGACCAAGAGACCTCTACACCAAGACTGTCATCAACTGGTGGCCTGGCCAGTTGACTGAGAGAGTCACATGACTGGTCACATGACTGAGAGAGCTGTCAATCAGGATAGTGTTGACGAGCTGTTTGAGTAGTTTGACGTTTGAAGGTCGGATCGAAGGAGCAGGGATCAGGCCCAAGTGCAATTTATAATCTAAATTAATTACTGACATATTGTTAGTAATAATAATTATTGTTATTTAAATCGGTCCAACTTTTAACCTATGTGTGGGCGGAATACAGTTTTGAACAAAGACATAACTGAGTTGGTGGTTGGATATATATATATATATATATATATATATATATATATATATATATAAAACAGGTGTGAGTGCGTGAGCGTGTACCCGTGTGTGTGTATCCACCTAGTTCATCTAATTGAGCTTGCGGGGGTTGAGCTCTGGCTCTTTGGTCCCGCCTCTCAACTGTCAATCAACTGGTGTACAGATTCCTGAGCCTACTGGGCTCTATCATATCTGCATTTGAAACTGTGTATGGAGTCAGCCTCCACCACATCACTGCCTAATGCATTCCATTTGTTAACTACTCTGACACTGAAAATTCTTTCTAACGTCCATGTGGTTCATTTGGATATTCATTTTCCACCTGTGTCCCCTTGTTCGCGTATCTCCCGTGTTAAACAGTGTATCCTCATCTACCCCTGTCAATTCCCCTGAGGATTTTGTAGGTAGTGATCATGTCTCCTCCTTACTCTTTTGCCTTCCAGTGTCGTCAGGTTCATTTCCCGCAGCCTTTCCTCGTAACTCATGCCTCTTAGTTCTGGGACTAGCCTAGTGGCATACCCCTGAACTTTTTCAAACTTCAAGCCGTGTGTGTGTGTGTGTGTGTGTGTGTGTGTGTGTGTGTGTGTGTGTGTGTGTGTATGTGTGCGTGATTTTTATCCCATTCATAAGTCAGTTTTTTAATGAAAAAAACACTGGTCGCATTTTATATTGCGACCAGTGACTGAAGAGGGTGGTGGTGATGCCAGTGGTGGAGAGGGAGAAGGGGAGATGATGCCAGGGGTAGGAAGAGGGGAGAGGGAATGGAAGGTACCAGCAGTGGGGGGGGGGGGGGTAAAGGGAGGGAGGAGAAGACGGGGAAGAGGTGATGCTAAGGGGGGAGGGAGGGAAGGGAATTAGCTGCAACAGGTATGGACGAGAATACGGAGGTTATTACTTTGTGTGTTGAGAGGAAGTTGTGGTCAGGTGTGGAGGTACAGGCCAAAGGTGCGTGGTGGAGCAGGGGGTTGTGGGGCAGGGGGTTGTGGGGCAGGGGGTTGTGGGGCAGGAGGTTGTGGGGCAGGAGGTTGTGGGGCAGGGGGTTGTGGGGCAGGAGGTTGTGGGGCAGGAGGTTGTGGGGCAGGGGTTGTGGGGCAGGAGGTTGTGGGGCAGGGGGTTGTGGGGCAGGAGGTTGTGGGGCAGGAGGTTGTGGGGCAGGAGGTTGTGGGGCAGGGGGTTGTGGGGCAGGAGGTTGTGGGGCAGGAGGTTGTGGGGCAGGGGGTTGTGGGGCAGGAGGTTTGGGGGCAGGGGGTTGTGGGGCAGGGGTTTGTGGGGGAGTTGTGGGGCAGGGGGTTGTGGGGCAGGGGGTTGTGGGGCAGGAGGTTGTGGGGCAGGGGGTTGTGGGGCAGGAGGTTGTGGGGCAGGAGGTTGTGGGGCAGGAGGTTGTGGGGCAGGAGGTTGTGGGGCAGGGGGTTGTGGGGCAGGGGTTTGTGGGGGAGTTGTGGGGCAGGGGGTTGTGGGGGAGGGGGTTGTTGGGGAGGGGGTTGTGGGGGCAGGGGGCTATGGGGGAGGGGGTTGTGGGGGCAGGGGGTTGTGGGGCAGGAGGTTGTGGGGCAGGAGGTTGTGGGGCAGGGGGTTTGTGGGGCAGGGGGTTGTGGGGGAGGGGGTTGTGGGGCAGGGGTTGTGGGGGAGGGGTTGTGGGGCAGGGGGTTGTGGGGGAGGGGGGTTGTGGGGCAGGGGGTGAGGGGGAGGGAGTTGTGGGGGAGGGGGTTGTGGGGCAGGGGGTTGAGGGGGAGGAGGTTATGGGGCAGGAGGTTGTGGGGCAGGAGGTTGTGGGGCAGGAGGTTGTGGGGCAGGAGGTTATGGGCAGGAGGTTGTGGGGCAGGGGGTTGTGGGGCAGGAGGTTATGGGGCAGGAGGTTGTGGGGCAGGAGGTTGTGGGGCAGGAGGTTGTGGGGCAGGAGGTTATGGGGCAGGAGGTTGTGGGGCAGGGGGTTGTGGGGGAGTTGTGGGGCAGGGGGTTGTGGGGGAGTTGTGGGGCAGGGGGTTGTGGGGCAGGGGGTTGTAGGGGAGTTGTGGGGCAGGGGGTTGTGGGGCAGGGGGTTGTGGGACAGGGGGTTGTGGGACAGGGGGTTGTGGGGCAGGAGGTTGTGGGGGCAGGAGGTTGTGGGAGAGCAAGGAAGTAAAAAACCCTCTATTAAAGACCACAACCTTCCACTATATAACCTGGTTTTCGATTGTAATGAATACATTCTCTCTAACACGCATCAGTTTTGTCTCTGTTATTACAATAATGTGCCATTGTTTTTCTCTCTCAATGAGCTTTTAGGTACTTGTGTGTATATCTTTTGTGGTCGTATTCCCCCCATTGTTCAGTCACAAACTACCTGTTTGATTTGACGGCTGTTACCACTTATGGTGTCTTCTTGGAGTGTCTTTAGTCTCCTTTGCTGCCCATTGACATTCTCCTTTCCTAACTCTTTTTTTCCTCCATTTAAAGTTAGAGGAGAAAAAGCAAGGACACAGATGGAAGCAAGACTTTCAAATGAGTTAAGGAAATGTTGGGAGGTGTCAATATCCTGTGGGGGGGGGGGGGGGAGGTGGAGAGGGTGGAGGTAGAGAGGGTGGAGGTAGAGAAGGTGGAGGTAGAGATGGTGGAGATAGAGAGGGTGGAGGTGGAGAGGGTGGAGTTAGAGAGGGTGGAGGTGGAGAGGGTGGAGGTAGAGAGGGTGGAGGTAGATAGGGTGGAGGTGGAGAGGGTGGAGGTAGAGAGGGTGGAGGTAGAGAGGGTGGAGGTAGAGAGGGTGGAGGTAGAGAGGGTGGAGGTGGAGAGGGTGGAGGTAGAGAGGGTGGAGGTAGAGAGGGTGGAGGTAGAGAGGGTGGGGGTGGAGGTAGAGAGGGTGGAGGTATAGAGGGTGGAGGTGGAGAGGGTAGAGGTAGAGAGGGTGGAGGTAGAGAGGGTGGAGGTGGAGAGGGGTGGAGGTAGAGAGGGTGGAGGTGGAGAGGGTGGAGGTGGAGAGGGTGGAGGTGGAGGTAGGGGTGGAGGTAGAGAGGGGTGGAGGTAGAGAGGTTGGAGGTGGAGAGGGTGGAAGTGGAGAGGGTGGAGGTAGAGAGGGTGGAGGTAGAGAGGGTGGAGGTAGAGAGGGTGGAGGTAGAGAGGGTGGAGGTGGAGATGGTGGAGGTAGAGAGGAGGTAGAGAGGGTGGAGGTAGAGAGGGTGGAGGTAGAGAGGGTGGAGGTGGAGAGGGTGGAGGTGGAGAGGGTGGAGGTGGAGAGGGTGGAGGTAGAGAGGGTGGAGGTGGAGAGGGTGGAGGTAGAGAGGGTGGAAGTGGAGAGGGTGGAGGTAGAGAGGGTGGAGGTAGAGAGGGTGGAGGTGGAGAGGGTGGAGGTAGAGAGGGTGGAGGTGGAGAGGGTGGAGGTAGAGAGGGTGGAGGTAGAGAGGGTGGAGGTGGAGAGGGTGGAGGTAGAGAGGGTGGAGGTGGAGAGGGTGGAGGTAGAGAGGGTGGAGGTAGAGAGGGTGGAGGTGGAGAGGGTGGAGGTAGAGAGGGTGGAGGTAGAGAGGTGGAGGTGGAGAGGGTGGAGGTAGAGAGGGTGGAGGTGGAGAGAGGGTGGAGGTAGAGAGGGTGGAGGTGGAGAGGGTGGAGGTGGAGAGGGTGGAGGTAGAGAGGGTGGAGGTAGAGAGGGTGGAGGTAGAGAGGGTGGAGGTAGAGAGGGTGGAGGTGGAGAGGGTGGAGGTAGAGGGGTGGAGGTAGAGAGGGTGGAGGTAGAGAGGGTGGAGGTAGAGAGGGTGGAGGTGGAGAGGGTGGAGGTAGGGAGGTAGGGTGGAGGTAGAGAGGGTGGAGGTGGAGAGGGTGGAGGTAGAGAGGGTGGAGGTAGAGAGGGTGGAGGTAGAGAGGGTGGAGGTGGAGAGAGGGTGGAGGTAGAGAGGGTGGAGGTGGAGAGGGTGGAGGTAGAGAGGGTGGAGGTAGAGAGGGTGGAGGTAGAGAGGGTGGAGGTAGAGAGGGTGGAGGGGTGGAGAGAGAGGGTGGAGGTAGAGAGGGGGGAGGTAGAGAGAGTGGTGGTGGAGAGTGGTAGAGAGGGTGGAGAGAGGTGGAGGTAGAGAGGGTGGAGGTAGAGAGGGTAGAGAGGGTGGAGAGAGGGGAGGTAAGAGGTGGAGGAGGGGTGGAGGTGGAGAGGGTGGAGGTAGGGTGGAGAGAGGGTGGAGGTGGAGAGGGTGGAGGTAGAGAGGGTGGAGGTAGAGAGGGTGGAGGTAGAGAGGGTGGAGGTGGAGAGGGTGGAGGTAGAGAGGGTGGAGGTAGAGAGGGTGGAGGTGTAGAGCGTGGAGGTAGAGAGGGTGGAGGTGGAGAGGGTGGAGGTAGAGAGGGTGGAGGTAGAGAGGGTGGAGGTGGAGAGGGTGGAGGGTAGAGAGGGTGGAGGAGAGAGGGTGGAGGTAGAGAGGGTGGAGGTGGAGAGGGTGGAGGTAGAGAGGGTGGAGGGTAGAGGGGAGGTGGAGGTGGAGAGAGGTGGAGGTAGAGAGGGTGGAGGTAGAGAGGGTGGAGGTAGAGAGGGTGGAGGTAGAGAGGGTGGAGGTAGAGAGGGTGGAGGTGGAGAGGGTGGAGGTAGAGAGGGGTGGAGGGTAGAGAGGGTGGAGGTGGAGAGGGTGGAGGTAGAGAGGGTGGAGGTAGAGAGGGTGGAGGTAGAGAGGGTGGAGGTAGAGAGGGTGGAGGTAGAGAGGGTGGAGGTAGAGAGGGTGGAGGTGGAGAGGGTGGAGGTAGAGAGGGTGGAGGTGGAGAGGGTGGAGGTAGAGAGGGTGGAGGTAGAGAGGGTGGAGGTAGAGAGGGTGGAGGTAGAGAGGGTGGAGGTAGAGAGGGTGGAGGTGGAGAGGGTGGAGGTAGAGAGGGTGGAGGGTGGAGGTGGAGGTAGGGTGGAGGTGGAGAGAGGGAGAGGGTGGAGGTAGAGAGAGGGTGGAGGTAGAGAGAGGGAGGGTGGAGGTAGAGAGGGTGGAGGTGTGGAGGGTGGAGGTAGAGAGGGTGGAGGTGGAGAGAGGGTGGAGGTAGTGGAGGTAGGGTGGAGGTAGAGAGGGTGGAGGTGGAGAGGGTGGAGGTGGGGAGAGGGTGGAGGTAGAGAGGGTGGAGGTAGAGAGGGTGGAGGTAGAGAGAGGGTGGAAGTGGGGAGGGTGGAGGTAGAGAGGGTGGAGGTGGAGAGGGGGAGGTGGAGAGGGTGGAGGTAGAGAGGGTGGAGGTAGAGAGGGTGGAGGTGGAGAGGGTGGAGGTGGAGAGGGTGGAGGTGGAGAGGGTGGAGGTGGAGAGGGTGGAGGTGGAGAGGGTGGAGGTGGAGAGGGTGGAGGTAGAGAGGGTGGAGGTGGAGAGGGTGGAGGTGGAGAGGGGTACCTCACCGGGGCGCCCCGGACCTGAGGCCACTTGACACAAGCATCACGTAGTTCGTAATTATCGGCAATTATACCAACTGCTCTGAAAAGATGCCAGAGATTTTCGTTCGTTCCAAACAAGTATAAATTCCCTTTTTTCTTTTCCTTTTTAACTCCTTTTGGCGCTTGTGTTTGCTTTTGTTTCTCTCACCTGTCTCGACTTTTGTTATCAACTATTTTCCCCATAATCAAATCTTCAAGAGGAAGAGTTTCTCCTTAGTGATATCTGCTGGAAGTCTTCAAGGGCGCGATGAACTTATGAAGAAAGTGTTGGAGGACAAATGACCTTGCTTCTTATAGAGCCCCTACGTCTGACTCCTCCTGTGCTGCCTCCACCCCTCAGCATCACACCAACCTCCAGCAACCTCATGCCCTTATCCCCAACACTCGCACCCTTCCATCACCAACACTCTCTCTCTCTCTCCATCACCAACACTCTCCATCAAAAAAATTCCCCCACTATCTCTATCGATCACACGAGAACACAAAAGAGGATCTTTTAGCAGGAAGAGCAGACTATTCTATGCAACGGAATTCAAAACGGTATTCTATCAGAGGGATATGACAAGGGACGAGAGAATGAGGGCAGCATATTCAAGGAAGAAGTGCATGGAGAGAGAAGGAAATCAGGGAACCATGGCTGAAATCCTACAATCCCACAGGGGAATGGGGGAACCCTCCACAAGCAGTCCAGCAGCCCCAGAGAGAGGGGCATTACTCCCATCATCTACCCAATAGAAATCCTCCCAGCTACAACCTCTCCCAGACCCCTACTAAATGCCCAATCAGTCCTCCCTGCCCCCCTCTCCCCAAGCCCTCTCCTCTCCCCCATCCCTTAAACCATGCCCCACCCCCAGCATCCTCCAAATTCAACGGTCGAACAGCCAGCAGGTGTAAGAGTAGGTGAGGATGGACAGATGAAAGTGAGCTTCAAAGTGATGTACAAATAGACGGGATTACGAATAAGACAAGTGAACTTGGAGAAAAGACACAAGAAGAAAACCTTGATGTAATAGTACTCGCAGAAACAAAACTCTCAGGCATCATAACAAAATCGGTGTTCCCACAGGACTACTATATATTAAGGAAAAAGAAAGGGAAGTGGAGGAGGAGGAGTCGCCTTGCTGATAAGGAAGTCATGGAATTTCGATGAGATGAACATTCCATTCACTGAAGGTAGCAGAGACTACATAGCAGGCACTATGACAATGGGAGGACCAAAGATAATGGCAGTAGTAATCTATGACCCCCCTCACTAAATGACAGAAGACCCAGACAGGAGTATGACAGGAACAAAATGGCAACCATTACCATAATAGAGAGAGCAGCTTCTATTGCCTGCAGGAAGAAAATTAAACTCTTGATCATGGGCAACTTCAACCATGGAAAAACAGACTTGGAAATCAGAGAACCACACAGAGATACACGAACATGGAGAACTAATTTATTAGACGTTGCGACAAGAAACTTTCTACGCCAAACATGTCAAGGTGCCCACAAGAATGAGAGAGGAATGATGAACCAGCCAGACTTGATCTGATATTCACCATGAACGAATCAGACATAAGGTAAGTCAAATCAGAACTCTCCCCCCCCATAGGAATAAGTAACCACAGTGTCCTAACATTTGTGTATCTGATGCCAGTAGGAATAATCCTTCCAAGGAAAGGACCGAAAAATAAAAGACTGGAATACCGAAGAGGGAAACTACGATAAGATAAGAAAATTTACAATAGGATTACCATGGGAGTCTGAGGTCTCCCTTTAAGCACACACACACACACACACACACACACAGACACCCACACACACACACACACACACACACACACACACACACACACACACACACACACACACACACACACACACACACACACACTCCGCCGGATGTAACAAACTTGAGCACTACTCTGAAGGTGTTTTTCATCCTGCGATGACGGCGTCCTCTGGCTCAGTAAAAAGATCTTATGTAATTATGTAACAGTCCCAACCACCAGGACCATCGGGAATCGAACGCGGACCTTATATGAAGGTCTTCACTCTACCGACCAGTCCAAGTGGATTGAAGTGGCAGCACAGGGGACAATATGAGGGGATCGGACACAACATGAGGGCTCGGACACAACATGAGGGCTCGGACACAACATGAGGGCTCGGACACAACATGAGGGCTCGGACACAACATGAGGGCTCGGACACAACATGAGGCTCGGACACAACATGAGGGCTCGGACACAACATGAGGCTCGGACACAACATGAGGGCTCGGACACAACATGAGGGCTCGGACACAATATGAGGGCTCGGACACAACATGAGGGCTCGGACACAACATGAGGGCTCGGACACAACATGAGGGCTCGGACACAATATGAGGGCTCGGACACAACATGAGGGCTCGGACACAATATGAGGGCTCGGACACAACATGAGGGCTCGGACACAACATGAGGGCTCGGACACAACATGAGGGCTCGGACACAATATGAGGGCTCGGACACAACATGAGGGCTCGGACACAATATGAGGGCTCAGGACACAATATGAGGGCTCGGACACAACATGAGGGCTCGGACACAATATGAGGGCTCATGAGGGCTCGGACACAACATGAGGGCTCGGACGCAACATGAGGGCTCGGACACAACATGAGGGCTCGGACACAACATGAGGGCTCGGACACAACATGAGGGCTCGGACACAACATGAGGGCTCGGACACAATATGAGGGCTCGGACACAACATGAGGGCTCGGACACAACATGAGGGCTCGGACACAACATGAGGGCTCGGACACAACATGAGGGCTCGGACACAACATGAGGGCTCGGACACAATATGAGGGCTCGGACACAACATGAGGGCTCGGACACAACATGAGGGCTCGGACACAACATGAGGGCTCGGACACAACACACAACATGAGGGCTCGGACACAATATGAGGGCTCGGACACAACATGAGGGCGGACACAATATGAGGGCTCGGACACAACATGAGGGCTCGGACACAACATGAGGGCTCGGACACAACATGAGGGCTCGGACACAATATGAGGCTCGGACTCGGACACAACATGAGGGCTCGGACACAACATGAGGGGGTCGGACACAATATGAGGGCTCGGACACAACATGAGGGCTCGGACACAATATGAGGGCTCGGACACAATATGAGGGCTCGGACACAACATGAGGGCTCGGACACAATATGAGGGCTCGGACACAACATGAGGGCTCGGACACAACATGAGGGCTCGGACACAATATGAGGGCTCGGACACAACATGAGGGCTCATGAGGGCTCGGACACAACATGAGGGCTCGGACACAACATGAGGGCTCGGACACAACATGAGGGCTCGGACACAATATGAGGGCTCGGACACAACATGAGGGCTCGGACACAATATGAGGGCTCGGACACAACATGAGGGCTCGGACACAACATGAGGGCTCGGACACAATATGAGGGGCTCAGACACAACATGAGGGCTCGGACACAATATGAGGGCTCGGACACAATATGAGGGCTCGGACACAACATGAGGGCTCGGACACAACATGAGGGCTCGGACACAATATGAGGGCTCGGACACAATATGAGGGCTCGGACACAATATGAGGGCTCGGACACAACATGAGGGCTCGGACACAACATGAGGGCTCGGACACAATATGAGGGCTCGGACACAACATGAGGGCTCGGACACAATATGAGGGCTCGGACACAATATGAGGGCTCGGACACAACATGAGGGCTCGGACACAACATGAGGGCTCGGACACAACATGAGGGCTCGGACACAATATGAGGGCTCGGACACAACATGAGGGCTCGGACACAATATGAGGGCTCGGACACAATATGAGGGCTCGGACACAATATGAGGGCTCGGACACAACATGAGGGCTCGGACACAACATGAGGGCTCGGACACAATATGAGGGCTCGGACACAACATGAGGGCTCGGACACAACATGACACAATATGAGGGCTCGGACACAACATGAGGGCTCGGACACAATATGAGGGCTCGGACACAACATGAGGGCTCGGACACAATATGAGGGCTCGGGACACAAATATGAGGGCTCGGACACAACATGAGGGCTCGGACACAACATGAGGGCACAACATGAGGGCTCGGACACAATATGAGGGCTCGGACACAACATGAGGGCTCGGACACAACATGAGGGCTCGGACACAATATGAGGGCTCGGACACAACATGAGGGCTCGGACACAACATGAGGGCTCGGACACACAACATGAGGGCTCGGACACAATATGAGGGCTCGGACACAACATGAGGCTCGGACACAACATGAGGGCTCGGACACAACATGAGGGCTCGGACAGCACAATGCGTTACAAGTTCCAGTAATAGGTTAATGGGGTACCGGTAATGGGGTAATAGTGTACCAGTAATGAGGTAATGGGGTAATGCCTTGATCTACCTCACCAATTACCACTTGGTGTGGTAGGTGGACGGCCTCGCTACGTGCAGGGCAGAGTTCAATTCCCGTAACCTTCCGGTTATTTAGCCACTATATATATTCCCTTCCCGCTTCGTGTTCCAAATACGTCTCCTCCTCCTCTCCCTTTCATCTTGTCGCAAGTACCTTAATTAGCGCTTTTCCGGCTAACTACCGTACCCTTTCTAGTTACGTCTTGGGTCTGGGTCGTATATGAGTTAGCTTCCTTCTATTCGAGAGGCATTTAAAGCTTTAAGATCTGGCATAATTGCAAGATCCTTTTTATATAAGATATTGAAAATATTGCATTTATATTTAGTGAGGTCAGTTTGTGTCTCGTGTAGGTTCATGTTTAGGGATGATTTGGGGGGAGAGGTATATATATATATATATATATATATATATATATATATATATATATATATATATATATATATATAGTGTATATTTGGGGGGATATACACCAATCTCCATGTGATTGGTGTATACAGTTGTGGTCTTGTTGTCAACTATTCACTCTGAAGAATATGTGATTGATGAGCAAGGTAGCATCACCATCTTTAGCATCTCCACCTGCAGCATCCCCACCTCCAGCATCCCCACCTCCAGCATCCCCACCTGTAGCATCTCCACCTGCAGCATCAGCACCTGGGAAGGACCAGCTAAGTCTCGCTGGAGCAGCTGTAGCTGAGAAAGCTTCTGCCTCTACGGCTGGATTTGGGGGTACTATGGCCTCGACGATGCTCTCTTGGCTTAGCACTCGGAAGATTAGTCATGTCTGGTTTTGTAATTTAAAAGTTGTACTTAAAATGCCATTGATGTGCCTGAGGCCTTGAATGATTCTTTATTGCTCATTTAACTCTTGTTTATGGTAGTCAGGGCAAACAGCCTTGTTTGCAGCTCGACTGGTTGTTGCTGTTGCTTCCTGTGCAACAGGGGGGTGAACTTGGCGTTCATCCCCCCCCCTCACTAATGGGGAACGTTCACTAATGAAGAACTTGGCGTGAACTTGAACGAACTTCAAAGAGGGAACTTGGCGTTCCTCGGAGGGGTCAAGAGACTATTCATCTTCACTACGAACTATCTTCTTTATTATTATTATCATAATTAACTTCCTCCACTCTAACCCTGTTTAACTACTCACAACCATCATCACTGTAACTATAGTCACTATACACACACACACATATACATATATAGACTCTGCACTATACACTTGCCCTGCCTGCACGACACCACCACCATCCACGTCGATACACTTACTCAATACACTTGTCGTCTTCTCAAGCACTTGGGCTGGACGGTAGAGCGATGGTCTCGCGTCATGCAGGTAGGCGTTCAATCCCCGACCGTCTACAAGTGGTTGGTCACCATCCTTTCCCTCCTGTCTCATCCTAAATCCTTTTCCCGACCCCTTCCCAGTGCTATTACCATATATATATATATATATATATATATAATATATATATATATATATATATATATATATATATATATAGTCGTAATGGCTTGGTGCTTCCTCTTGATAATTCCCTTCGCTTCTTCACCCAACCACCAACTCAAGCAGCAGCATAGACCTGCTGCTTGAGCGGCTGCTGTTGCACACCTGCTGCTTGAGTGGCTACCAAGGTAGACTGCTGCTACCTGGTATTGGGAATACTGCTGGGGCGGTTTACAGGTACACATTAGTTTGCCTATAATGAACGTGATATATCTGTCCTATAATTCTCATGACGGGCGAGAACAGAGAGAAGGAGACAGAGGAATATAGGAAGATGAAAAATAGAGCGAAGAAACGGGAAGGAAATAATACTACTGGAGGAATCGCTAATCCCAAGAAGACAATCTTCAAACGTCTATTACAATCACTAAGCCGAGAAGACCGCGAACTACCAACATCACTTGCTTTTTTTTTAACTCCAGAAAATCTGAATCCACAAAAGTCCTGCGCGAACTTAATAAACAAAAGGGTGACTACGTCCCAGTCTATAAAGATCCCGGAAGCCCGGACGAATCACCGAAATTAAACGAATCTTCGCGTGAACGATTTATGGGTAAAAGTTCCTTGGTTTGGCTTCTCTGGTGGGCCGGAGCTGGCGCCTTTGAAGCTGAAGAAACGTGCTGACGAACTTGGTGGATGGTGGTGACGGCTTGACAGGGTGTCAGGTGGATTTTCAACATGTTATTAATTAAGAATATCGGGATAATAAAAATATTAATATGAGTGTAGGGGATACCAGCGTTGCTTCTTTTCTTCATCACTCCCAATCCACCCCTCACCCCACATCCATTCCACACCCCTCCTCCCATCCTATCCCCCCCCCCATCCCCTGGCCCACGCCACCCATTCCTCCCCCACCACACCCATCTCCCCCTCCCACCCACAAAACCTCGTCTGTATTCCTCGGCCATACTCTCAGTCGTCGGGTAATTTATGTATCCGCTTTTGAGCTGATGTTAGGCGGTAATCCACAAATTAGATCTTCACATTCACCTGTCTCGTCTGATATTTATTTCAGCAGTTGCAGAAAGCCGGAGAAATGTTCCCTCGGGTTGAGGATTCTGTGCGTTCATCGACTTGTGTTTCCTGAGTGTGAATGGCAGGGTGAACAGTTGTCTCAAGGTGAAAGTGTGCTCGTCTAACCTGGCCTGCAGGTCGGGGGTCTAAGCTGGCCTGCAGGTTGGAGGTCTAACCTGGACTGCAGGTTGGAGGTCTAACCTGGCCTGCAGGTCACCGTTTTGGAAGTTACTTAAAGTTAGTTTCTAATAAGTCTTTCAGTCACTCTTGGGTTGAAGTTATCTCTCTCTCGTTGTTCTTCTTTAAAGTAATCTACAAGGTTTTCTTGGAAAAATAGGTTAATTGCTAGAGTTCGCCCTTAGGCTTCTGGGATTCTAATATTTATCCGTGCACTCAGTTTTCATTACTCATATATTTACTAAAGAATTAAGGTTATTTTCATTATTGCAATTTTATATATATATATATATATATATATATATATATATATATATATATATATATATATATATATATATATATATATATATATATATATATATCTTGGGCATAGCATTTTACCAAATCACCTCATTCTTTGGGGCACACGTGAGGAACACAAATGCGAACAAGCCTGAATGGTCCCCAGGACATATGCAACTGAAAACTCACACCCCAGAAGTGACTCGAACCCATACTCCCAGAAGCAACGCAACTGGTATGTACAAGACGCCTTAATCCACTTGACCATCACGACCGGACAAAATGAGGTGATAGCCGAGGCTATATGAACCACCCCACCGCCGGCACTCGGATAGTTATCTTGGGCATAGCATTTTACCAAATCACCTCATTCTTTGGGGCACACGTGAGGAACACAAATGCGAACAAGCCTGAATGGTCCCCAGGACATATGCAACTGAAAACTCACACCCCAGAAGTGACTCGAACCCATACTCCCAGAAGCAACGCAACTGGTATGTACAAGACGCCTTAATCCACTTGACCATCACGACCGGACAAAATGAGGTGATAGCCGAGGCTATATGAACCACCCCACCGCCGGCACTCGGATAGTTATCTTGGGCATAGCATTTTACCAAATCACCTCATTCTTTGGGGCACACGTGAGGAACACAAATGCGAACAAGCCTGAATGGTCCCCAGGACATATGCAACTGAAAACTCACACCCCAGAAGTGACTCGAACCCATACTCCCAGAAGCAACGCAACTGGTATGTACAAGACGCCTTAATCCACTTGACCATCACGACCGGACAAAATGAGGTGATAGCCGAGGCTATATGAACCACCCCACCGCCGGCACTCGGATAGTTATCTTGGGCATAGCATTTTACCAAATCACCTCATTCTTTGGGGCACACGTGAGGAACACAAATGCGAACAAGCCTGAAGGGTCCCCAGGACCATTCAGCCCAGGACCAGGGTGATTTGGTAAAATGCTATGCCCAAGATAACTATCCGAGTGCCGGCGGTGGGGTGGTTCATATAGCCTCGGCTATCACCTCATTTTGTCCGGTCGTGATGGTCAAGTGGATTAAGGCGTCTTGTACATACCAGTTGCGTTGCTTCTGGGAGTATGGGTTCGAGTCACTTCTGGGGTGTGAGTTTTCAGTTGCATATGTCCTGGGGACCATTCAGGCTTGTTCGCATATATATATATATATATATATATATATATATATATATATATATATATATATATATATATATATATATATATATATATATATATATATATATATATATATATATATATATATATATATATATACATATTATATCATATACATATCATATACAAGAGATCATATACATATATATATATATATTATTTACATATATACAGACTTCCTCAGGGGTTGGTCGGGAGATGCAGCTGGCATTCCACCTCTGGACCGCGACGCCGAGACGCTACAAGATAATTTTTTGTTGTTGGGACCCCAATTAGTTTGTGGCCCAGTTTCTTCAGGAACTTCAATGCACATTTGCCCCACGAACTAAAGAGGTTTTTCAGCCAATCGTGGAAGATGTTGTAGCAACGTGCCAGACCTCAGTGTGTTACTCCTTCGTGGAGAGGTAACACGAAGGGTTAATACGAAGAGCGTCGTGATTTAGGCAAGATCCCAAGGTTGATTTGGGATCATCAAATAAAAAATCCCCAGCAGCGGGTGCTGTTACCGCCAGGAGGCGACCTGTATCCTACAGATACATTTTCAAGCATTGATGAAGCAATCTTGTTCCATTATGGAGCAATCCCAGCGTGCCTGTTCGGGATCTTTTGGGGCTCGTGGTCGTTATATTATAGACCTGAACGGGCATTCTGGGGATTCTCAGACACCTGCCTTAAC